TTTTTTAATTTAGAGTCACAAACTATTATATATAATACCTATATCCCTTTGGGAATGGTTGGCAAATATATATGTCTATGTTAATAAATGTACAGACTATCTCTGGAAGCACTGCCTTTGAGGAAGGGAAATGGGGGACAGGGTACAAGGAAGATTTACTGTATATCCCTATATACAAGTTAAATTTTTTGTTACATGCATGCATTTCTCTTCTAAAATATTTAAGGCTATGATATTTTCTCAAGGTATAATTTTAGCCACAGCCCATAGACTTTTTAATGCAATATTGCCATAGTCATTGATTTCTAAATAGTATACAATTTAAGTTAAATTTTAAATTACTTTAAAGTCTGGAACAACAAAAAACCACTACCTCTAACATCCCCTTTTTTGAGGAAAAAGATTAAACTACCCACTACTACCTATTCAATTCTACCCTCTCCCAGTTGAGAATCAATTTGGCATCAATTTTTCTGATCTTCCCACAGGATTATCTATATGTATGTATTACCATATACACAGAATTTTATTATAAACATAAAATCATTTCAAAGGTAGGTGATTGGAAAAAAGAAAAAAATGAAATTATGTTATATATGTTACTTTGAAACATGATTTATTTTTACATAGAAATATATTATGGACATCTTTCCAGGTAAGTACATATCAATATATCAATTTACCTTATTCTTTCTAATGCCTCCATAGCATTACATAGAACAGATGAGCTATAGTTTATTTAGCTGTTCCTCATTGATGAATGTATCTTTTTTCTCTCTTTTTTTTCTTCCATTGAAAACAATGTTTAAAAAATGCTGTAATAAATCTCTTTTAAGGCTGGATGTGGTGGCTCATGCCTATAATTCTAGCACTATGGGAGGCTGAGGCAGGAGGATTGCTTGAGGCCAGGAGTTCGAGGCTAGCCTGAGCAAGAGCAAGACCCTATCTCTACCAAAAATAGAAAAAATTAGCCAGGCATGGTGGCATGTGCCTCCCAAGTAGCCAGGTACTTGGGAGGCTGAGGCAGGAGGATTGCTTGAGCCAAGGAGTTTGAGGTTGCTGTGAGCTGTGATACCATGCCCTCTACCCTGGGCAACAGAGCAAGACCTTGTCTGAAGGGAAGGGGAAGGAACAGGGGCAGAGGAAGGGGAAGAGGGAAACACAGAAAAAGAAAAAAATCTTTTAAGCCAGGTGTGGTGGCTAGTGCCTACAGTCCCAGCCACTTAGGAGGCTGAGGCAGGAGGACTACTTAAGCCCAGGAGTTTGAGGCTGGAGTAAGCTATGATAGTGCCGCTGCACTCCAGCCTAGACAACAGAGAGAGACTCTGTCTCTACAAAAATTAAATTAAAATGCCTTTTAAATTTTTATCATTCCAAAGGAAAAAAAGAGTACCTTGTTATTGCTTCATTTGAATCTCTTTGATGACTAGTTAGGCTGACTACCCTTTCATACATTATAAATCATTTATTATTTCTGTTATTTGATTATTATTATTACCATGATTTTTTTCTTCCTTATAATTTCAATTTTTATATCCTCTTCAACCTGAGTTGAAATTAAAAGCTTTCCAAGTAGTGATATTTCTTTTTTGGTTTCCCTTTGTTAATTTTGTTGTTGCTGTTGTTAACTGTTTTCTTGCATTATAATTGGAAATAATTATCTACTTTTTGGAATTTGAGATTTTCTTTATAGCCATCGTATATATTTTTGTTAAGTGTTCTATGAGTGTATATCATTAGTTCATTAGATACAAAGTTATATTAAATTATTTTAGAAATTAAATGATAGTTTTCTGGAATTAAATTTCATCTAATATTACCATGCATTATCTTTCATTTAACATTTGCTTGGAGTGTGTATACATATATTCTATTTTTAACCTTTCTGCATTGGTTTGTTTTAAATTTGTCTGAAATAACACATATCTGGAGATTTCTATACAATCTTAGAGCCTTTTTTTGTTTAATGAGGATTTATTACAGTCACATCTGTGGTTGTATGTGGTCATATTCTGTTCCCTCTCTCCTCCTCACCCTTTTTTTCTTTTATTTGTCTGATAAATATTTTCTCTTTATTTTCCTCAATATATTTTCTCCTTTTTTTCCTTTTCTCCTATTTCTATTCTATTTGTGAACATCCTTAACAATTTCGAGAAACACTGCAGTGGACATGTGTTAGATATTTTCTCCTCTCCATTTCATGAAATTCCCCAATTTTCACTCTGGTATGTACCCTTCACCAACCCAGCCCTTGTCCTTTCAGTACCAGCTCTTGGCAGGTCTTTGCAAATAACTTTTTTCCAGCCACAGTGATTGGTCTCAGGTTAGTTGAATTATAGAAAAGCCAGGACTTTTCTTTGAAGGTATGAGTAGCTATGATTTCTCTCCCTGCTTTAAAAAGAAAGTATATAATTCCAAATACTCAACTTGCAGGCATATTGCAAAGGGGGAAGCTAGTCTGAGTATGAAATTGCCAAACAATGAAAAGCAAAGGAGAGGACATCAGAGAAAAGGAGTTGCTTATCAATCAACTAAAATATCTTAATGTTAAAATTTCAATATTTTCCTCCTATCAGAAACTGTATTTATGGTCTCCCCTCCAAGTTTTAACACACTCTATTTCTTATCCAACAACCACTCACCATCCACTTCTGCCAAGGACTTATTGAAATCATCTAGAATCTTAGTACTAGAATATTAGTTCTTCTCCTAGTTCTATATTCCATGTCTCAATATCTCATTTTTTTCTTTGTGCTTTTACACCATATTTCAGAAGATTTCCTTGGTCTATTTTCTAGCTCATTAATTTAGTCTTCTATTACAGCCATGTTGCTCTTCAGCCTGCTATTGAAGTTTCATTTCAGAAAACACATTTTCAATTTTTTAAAAATTTCTTGTTCTCATTTCTTTTTTCATAGCAACCCACTGTTATTTTGTGAAAATGATACTCTTTCAAATCTTTAAGGATATTTTGAACAAAAAATAAGGCCCTTTGTCTAACACATTCAATTTATTTTCTCAAAGATTGATTCCTCTGTGCAGTTTGGTGTCCCTCTTTTATCCTGTTGATTTTCCTTATTCAGTGATTCTTGGTTAAATAAATTGGTGGCTAACATTGGTTTTCTCAACATAGTGGTTCTCAACTCTGGCTACACTGTTAAAAAAATCACTAAAAAAAAAAAAAAGCCCCCAAGGTGATTTTAATGTGTATCTACCACTAATAATCACTGTTTTAACATATGTGATAATCACTCCTAGGAGTTCTGGCTACGAAGAGTATCACGTGTGAGTACCAGTGAACAGCCAGGTGGGTTTGAAGGAAGGAGCTCCACATTCACAGTGGCAACCACAAGTTCTCTAAGGTATAACCCTGATTTTCTCTCTGCCCATAAAGCTCAAGTTGGAAATATCCTTAATTTATGTAGATATGTTCCAGCCTATGTTAAATTGAATTAGCTATTCTAGTGAATCCTGTTACAGCTGTTTTGAAGTGTGGCAATTAATAACCTTTTGACCACCCTGAACCCACTCTGACTTTCAAAGTCTCTGAGCTCTGGGGTTTTCCAGAATTGTGTTTGGAAAACTCACTTTAGTAGTGTTTTCCTTTTAAACCTGTATTAAATTGCATATTTTTCCACACAGTAAGGTTTTGCCATCAATCTGAACCCATATGCTTTGCATTTTTCACAAATGACTCAATGTTTGTGATCTATAACATAACACCCTTCCTAACTTTTCAACACTAAGTAGGATGTATCCTTATTTTCCTCTTTTCTTATTATTTGTCACTTATCTAGGGTTTTTTCCATTAAACAAATACAACATGCTTAAACTACTCAAATCATGGTGAAGGATTTAAGTTGTAAAGAGAAGTACTCCTCCCCACCAATTTTCCTCCTCAGATTTCCTGTTAATACTGCTCAAGTAATTATTGTTATATTACTCTTTTCCCCTTTCCATACCCTGTTCTTTGGAAGTGAGTACTAAGTCTAGCTCACATTTAAAGAGAGGGGAATTAATCTCTACCTCTTGGATATGGGATTTAAATGTATTTTTTAGAATTCTTCTGAAAGGAAGATTTGTCCCTTTTCCCTTGATTATTTATTCAATCATTTATTTATCAGTATGGACTCGTGGATATTTATTTTATTCTTTGGGTCATAACCCAATGCTAGAGTTAATTTGTTCAAATTGTTCAAGCTTTGGCCATTGGGTGCACTTTAGGACTGACCGCCATGCCTTTTTCACATGCCCTCCCTTTCCAGTACTTCCCTGATTTTTGCCACTAGAAGATGCTCCAGGCTAATCTTGTGTTTTCTCTTCCCTACTCTTAAAATCAGTTGTTTCTCCAAGGAACTTTTGTTCTTTTTACTGGTGAATGAAATTTAGAAACCAAGATCTAGGTGCTGCATGTACTCATTGCTACAGGGGTGTCAGGGCTTCCAGCCCCTTTCAGCAGACAGAGCTGGCAAACAAGCATAAATGTATGTCTGCTAACTCTCATGCATATGTACATATCTATATTCATATCTGTCTCTGTATTAATATTTTTAAAAAACATTATCTTATACCTGTATCTTTGATTCTAATCCAGTACCACAAGGCTCAGTATACTCTTCCCCTCTTGCTTATTTGTAACATCCTTCTTTGACAATGAGAAACCTGGTCCCCAATGTCTATAATTACTTTAACTGATTTGGTTCAACCCAAACATCCATGGAAAGTGGTTCCAGAATGGCTCACACGCCCTCAAAGGGTTCTTTTAAGAATCAATTGATATCATACATGTCTATGTTCCTTTAGGGCAGGGACAATTTTGTCCTTGTATCCCAAGGACACAATGTGTTACTCAAGTGTTTGCTAAATGAACAAAGGTCCTCTGTAACTAATATAGCTTAATCCATACAAATGTTAAATATTATTATGATCACTAATAAACTTCCTTTGTAGTATAAGTAACTCAAAGGTAGATAATTCAAAGTTTAATTCCTTGTTCTTACAATAGTCCCTTGATGCAAGATCACCTTCCAGTAATGTTTTCCCCTCTGCTGAGTGCCCCTGAGGGCCATCTGTGCTGAGTTGGCCCATTATGAATTCACACTCAGCAATTCTAGTCTGTTTCTCATTGGTAACTCCTAGAGCAATGGTTCTGAAATCTGAATAATCATCACAATCACCAGGATGTGCTTCTAGAGATTGGTTCAGTAGATTTGGATGCAGGAGCCTTGAGGGCAGGCATTTGAGTGTGTTTCAGTCACTGATGTATTCCAAGTGTCTAGAACCATGGTAGGCACATAAAGGGTAATCAGTAAGTATGTGTTCAATGAAAAAAATGAATGACTGAGGTGGGGCACAGAAATTTTTTAAAGCTCCTAAAATGACTCTGAGGCACAGCCACTATTGTCATTAATATAGATGCTATCAAGCCCTCATGTATCTTTCACCTCATAACAATGAATGGTACAGTGGATGGAAGTAGCATTTGACATCACACTTAAGATCATATTTCAAAGCTGACATGTATTAGCTATTTGGTTTTGAAATAAGTTCTCTTCAGAGTCTCAGCATCCTCACATTTATAATCACGAAAGTATTACCAACCCCTTGGAGGACTGCTAAGAGTTTACACGATAATATATTTCATAGAACTAGCAAAATGCCTGGTACACGGCAGGAGTTCAATGCATGTAAGTTGCCTTTCTTCCATTTCCCCCTAATTGACTGAGAAAATGGAAGTCATCTGGTACAAGTTCCTGACCTGGATCCTAAGTTTACCATAACAGACCGCAGTCTGTTATGGTATCTTTGTTATGGTATCCTTTCAGCCCTCCAGGATTTCCTAAAGCTAACTCTTTGCTCTGTGAAGAGAGAGACTCTATACTTGATTCTTTCCTCTTTAACACTTTATTTCCTCTCTTAAACATCGCTCCTTCCAAAACACAAGGGTTTTTGTCATATTAAGTAAGAATTTACTGCCTTTTCTGCTTCTCATTCCATTTCTCTCCTCCTGTTCCTATGAAACTTCTCCTTCATTGGCCAATCCATCCTATACCACAGCAGTATACCTTCTGATTGCTCCAATCAAATCTGCTTCCTTGGAGGTCAGGGACTCTTTTTCACCAAATCAACAGTCTTTTCTCTGTCATCATTCTCCCCTTGGCAGGATTTGAGGCTGCTTATTTCTTCTTTTCTTGAAATTCTCCTAGGTTGTCTTCCTCTTCTCCAATTATACATCCTCTTTCTCTAACTGAATCCTTATCTTTCTCATTTGACTTCCAAGGCTCCCCGCTCTCTTCTCTTTTTTCTGTTTGCTTCTTTCCTACAAAGTTTCAAATTGTTTCTGTGTAAAACCCATTATGTTTTTATAATAAACCTAGTTTTCAACTCTGATCTCACTCCAAATCTTTGGTTGGGCAAAGGTCTCTTCAGAACATTCCATTTCAAAGCAAATTAACAAGTCTGTTTGGAAGGTGTTAAATTGCTCTGCCTCTTAAGAGATCTACTTCCAAGCTCTCTATTTTATCAATGACACCAAAATTTTAACCTGGCTCTAAACCCAAAAATAATCTTCAACTCTTCTCACCAAATCCTATCAGTTCTTTTTACCATGTTCATCTCTTCCTGTTTCTTACTGCCATCTTAGATAAGGCCCTGTTTTACACGTCTGTCTCTAAATAGTTTTTTTTTGTTTGTGTGTTTTTAAACTTCCAGCCTTTCTCCTACTCAAATGATTCTATACTCCAATGTCTCATCAATTTTTCCAATTCACCATATTCATCATGTTTCTCTCCTGCTCCAGAATCACAGTACAATTTCCCATCCAAACTCTGGGCCCTGGCCTTTATGACTCTACCTTCCTCACTGGCCAGTCTCAGCTGCCCACTTCCACCTAGTACAACACACAAAGGAGCAGCATTATGAAGCTAATCATGTCATCTACTCTTCCCTCCTCTCCAGTTCAGACAGGTTCAGACAGCTTCTTCTCTGTGCTCCTTAGCAGCTAGTTCCCTGTTGGCTAAATCCATACTATTTTCCTACCGAAATGACCTTTCTGCTTCGCTTTGCTTCTCCAAATCCTACCAACCCTTTAAAGTCCAGTGTATGCCAATCTTACTAGGCATAAAAATAAATAAATAAATAAATAAATAAATAAATAAATAAAGTCCAGTGTATGTCTGTCCTCCTCTATAAAACCTTCCCTTATATTTCTAGCTAAAACTAAACCCTCTACCTATAGCCTGGACTCAATTACTCCCACTGCTTAGTAAACTTGTTACATAATATGTTTTCTCTCTCATTTATTATTCATCTCTCCTTTCCCATTAGTGCTTGTCCATTAAAAACATGCTTATTCAATTTTTTTCCATTTAAAAGGCTAAAATGATTTTTTCCTAGACCTTGCAACTTCCTCTAGATGCTCCCACCCTTTCTTCTTCCTAACCATAAGGCTTATTTTTTTTTCCTTTTTTTAAAATTTTCTCTTTTTTTTTCACTTTAACTGATGTTCTAGAACAAGCATAAGGCTTCTTGAAGAAGGAGTTTACAGGTACTATCCCTTCTTCCTCACTTCCCATTCACTCATCAACAAGCCATTATCTGACTTTTATTCCTAAAATTGCTTATGCCAAACTCACTAAAAGACTTCTATGCTGCTAAATCCAACGAGCTTTATAGGAAATATCTGTTGTTTTGGCCTTTTGGCAATAAGAGAGTTTCTCTGCCCCATTCCTGAGGTCTGATGGGCCCATCAAACATGGGCTGTCCTTTGGGGTGGGCAAAGGGTTGACCAATAAGACTCCCTGCATGAGGAGGAAGGCTGGCTGAGGGTGAGCTAGCCCCATGAATCCATGTGATCCTGGGAGCTTCTGTTTCCCTGGCCTTCCCAAGGTTTGTTATTCTTTCTTCCTTCACTTCTGAAAGCTTACCCAGTATTCATTTCCTGCTTACATTAGCCAAAGTCAATTTCTGTTATTTATAACCAAAGAGAAAGTGGTCCTGTAAATGGCATAGAGGTAGAAGTGGTACCTCTCATGGTAATACCACAAATTTCTTTTCCCTCTCCTGTTTACTGTGGTTTCTGCTGCTTGAGAAATTATATAGGCCAGGCACAGTGGCTTATGCCTATAATCCTGGCACTTTGGGAGGCCAAGTTGGGTGGATTGCTTGAATTAGGAATTCAAGGCCAGTCTGAGCAACATGGCAATAACTTGTCTCTACAGAAAATAGAAAAATTAGCCAGGTGTGGTGGCACATGCCTATAGTCCCAGCCTCTCAGGAGGCTGAGGCAGGAGGATCACTTGAACCCAGGAGTTTGAGGTTGCAGTGAGCTATGATGCACTCTAGCTGGGGCAATAGAGTGAGACCCTGTCTCGAAACAAACAAACAAGAAATTATAACACCTAATGTGAGAATGCTTTCACTAGCGGACACAATAATGGCTTCATTAATTGGGAGATAAGGCTGTCTGGGTCTCCTCATGTAGCAAGGCAACAGACAAAAAAACAATTACAAAATGCACAGCTGGAAATTGGGTAAATCCTGGGGCACCTGTTTTCAGTAAGACCAGCAGTGAAGTTACCAGAAAACTACTGTTACCCTCCACAAGCAAGCTCTGCAAGGGCTCAGATGTCTCAGGAATAAGTTGGTGAACCATATCTGTATGACTCCAAGGTTCATGCTCTTTAACACACCACTTTCTACTGATATCGATCTATTTGCAGCTACTTAACCAAGGAATGCCCTCTCTCATTTCCATGGCTTTGTGCCTGTTACTCTGAATGAAATGTCCATATCAACTTGCCAACTGGAAACTCCTAATTATCCTCTTTAAAACTTTCTCTGATCCCCTAGAGGTTAGACTAGATACCCTTCTTCATAGTCCCAAACATCCTGACATAATATCTCCCAATGTCTTAACATGAAATACTCTGTATATGCTTATTAGTTTTTCCCACTAGACTGTGTCTAAGTGGTAGAAACCATACATCTCTCATATTTAAATCCTCAACAATTAGTATTTAGTAATATAGCAATAAATGTCTATTGAAGGAATATCTGGTCTTTCCTAATATTTTAGTATTAGGAAATCATTACATCATAGATTTTATGTACTTATGTTTAATTTAGCATCTAATGAAGACTCCATTGAGTCTGTTAGTTATTTGATATGGGTGTTCCCCAATCCTCCCAAAAATTCTAAAAAGTTCTCACAGCTAAATCTACCATTGATTATAACTACATTCTCTGTAGCACCTAACAGTGCTGGGTACATGGTAAATATTCAATAAATACTTAGAGAACTGAATTAAAAACACAGTATTACACATTAATAGGAGCAACTTATCATGCCCTACTGATCTAATTAAAAGATCTGGCCTTCTGAAGTAGTGCAATTATACCCATATGGAAATGTTAATGAGAAAAAGAAAAATTACCCAATCAGACAGTTAACTTTACTCTTGGCAAGAATTCCACAAATATTTTATGGATAACAAGGGTAAACCTTTATAGCTCAGAGTAAAAGACTTAATGTATATATGCCTGTGCATATTGGAAGGAAGATTACATATTCAAGGGGTCTGTCACAACTACAATCACTTAGATTCCACTAACTTTTAACAAATCCATGACAGGAGTACAGGACATAAGAATATTTAATAGCAAAACCACTTAATGCCAATCAACCTATGCTCAAGATGTACATAGCTGTCTTTGTATAATATATAACATGGCAGTCATTTACTCATTCGACAAACATTTATCAAGTACCTAGTAATGACAAATGTAATGTTAGGTCTAAACTATACAAAGATAAAGAGAACAGAGTTCCTATGTTGATGGGTTTCTACTTCTGCCATGTTGCAATGGTATTTAAGAATATAATGTATATGGTACCCCTTAGAGTTGGTCAACGTGGAGGCCATGGTTGGCAGTACGGTGGGGAGGGCAGATAAACACTTATGGCAACGTGGTAAGAGCCAACATAGAAATAAGTATAAGCAGTTATGGGGCCAGAGAAGAGAAAATAATCAATCTACTGAGGAAACCAGGAAAATATATAGAAAAAAATTGATGTCTATACATGAATCCAATGCTAGTTAAGGTATGAGGAAGCTACTAAGATAGAAACATCTGGGATGGAATCAAATCTGAAACTATGGTTATTAATACAAGCAGAGTCAGGATGGTTGCAAGCTGAACCAATCCAACTTAAAGCAAACCACGGTAGAAGAGCCAAAATATAAAATACATCTTGTCATTAAGTTTGAAACACATATACATAAGAAGTTAAACTGCCACATGCTATAAGCATAAAGGGAGTCTTTTAAACAATATGTAGTATAAAATTTCAAAGGGAGTCAATCAGAAAGAACTAGAATAAGCTACCCAGGAGCTTATTATACCTTCATAAAAGTATAATTAGAACTATTACTGGTGGGGAGGGGGAACATATAGAGAGGGTCCATATCTTGAGAAAGGCCAATGTCTTTAACAAAAGCAGGGATCTAAACTGCATATTTGTGGGACATTAGGGGGCCCAAAGTTCATGCTGGGAAGCAGGGGAGGAAAGTTGAAGACATGAATGAAGTCCTTACTTAGAAAAGCCTGGAAAACAAGTATAACTTTTGGACATTGTTCTAGATATAGACTCATCATAGTTGTCAGCCCTGACTGTTGAATAAAATCACCTAGAGAGCTTAAAAAAATATGTCCATGGACAAGCCTTACCCCAGATCAAAAGTAAGAGAATCTCTGGGAGATGTGGCCCAGGCATCAAAATTTAAAGGCACACAAGGTGATGCCTATGTATAGTCTAGACTGAGAAACACTGGACTAGAGAATAGAAAGGTGAAGCATGACAGGAATGGTTAAGACCTAAACTTGATTTAAGACCCTGTTTATAAGAAACAAATTTGAGCTGATTACCTGCTGAAGCTTATCGTCTAATCTGAGTTAAACAATTTCAGTTTTCTCAGTGTTTCCTTTCCCTTGGTGAGAAGGCTAAGCTCTAAAAACAGGAAAATAACCCATCAATTTCTCATACATGACTGGCTCACTGACTGTAAAGTCTGAAACATTAGAACTTTACTTCCGTGATGTTCCACAGACAACTAACCTAGAAAATAACTATTTCAAATCTAAGCTGCTCTTACAACCCTGCATTGCAGTGCTGTTACAATATTCTAGGCTGCACCCATGACCAAATTTTATAAAACTATTAAATACAGAGAGACTCTAATATCCATGTATACAAGTCTTTTTGCTTAGACTTGAGCAAAATGTGAGATTAAGTTCATTCTTGTAGTACCTGGATAATTATACTACTACTGGTTTCAGAAGTACAATGATTACAATGTATTTCACTTATTTTGTAACAAATACTTTCAGAGTACTTAACAAATAAAGGGAAACAATACATATACATGAATCCCAAACAGCAACTCTGTATTACATTAAACAAGCGTCCTGTGTGGGAGGAAAAGTCATCAAGGTGATTGGAGAGAATGACAGCCTGTTGATCCTTCCAAAGCAGTTTAGTCTATTTGGTGTTTGGTTTGTTTTTCGTTTTGTTTTGTTTTGCTTTTAAGAGAAAGTTACTATGGGAATATGTTACTCACCTAGGATTTATTCAAGAAATCTGTACATTGTTAATAAGTAAGGAACTGTCCTCTTTACCTAAGTCGACCACAACTGTCACTGTCTTGTTTTGTGTGGTGTTAAGTCACTCTATCTATTTAATGGCAAAAATGTTATGAGAACGCAAGTTGAAATTCCACGCTTAGGTTTATGCAGTGTCTTATTTCCAGATAAAGTTAAACGCCAAGAACCATATCTCAATGTAAGGGCAGGGGGGAGAGGTTTGGAAGAGCGCGCAGGGGAGAATTCAACAATCAAACTGTTAAACGTGAACAAGAACCCAGAAATCTCATCTTTCTTCAGGAAATATGAAAGCAGATTTCAAGAGGTTTCATTCGCTTGTACTGCCTCTACTCAGAAAGCAAAAGAAAGACTTCTAAAAAGAAAACGCAAGCCGTTAACTCCTCGACATGGGGGTGAGAGTTAAAAAGCAAGCCACGTGAGTCTGACAAGCGGGTCGGAAACAAATTCAGAGGGAAAGGCACGAGCGGGGACGAAGGAAACAGGAAAAGGTGAAGGAGGCGGGCAAAGGCCATCCGGTGTGAACCTGGCCGCCCAGCTCTTTATGCGCCCAGGGCAGCTGGGGCCTCCCTCGCTCCGCGCATCTGGGGGCCGGGCGCGGGCGAGCCCCCACGAGCCTGGCGGCAGCGGGCGCGGGGAGGTCGGGGAGCGAGGGGCGCGAGCCCGCGGGCGCCTGCACCGCGCCAGGTGCGGCTCGCGGGGTCCCCGGGCGGGAGGCTCACTCTGCGCAGCCCTCGCCTCCCGGAGCAGCGAGGGGGTGGGTGGAGCCGAGCCCGGGGCCGCCCCCCGGAGCCGCCCCCGCAGCCCCGGCCCCCGCCCCCCGCCCCGGCTGTCAGCGGCCCCCTCCCGCACTCACTCACCCGCCCGCTGCGCGGTCTCGGCCGCGGTGGCGGCGGCGACGGCGGCGACCCCCGCCTGGGTCATGATCCCAAGCAAAGGCAGGGGTGTCCGACTGCCCGGGCGAATCTCTCCGTCCGCGGCCGCCGCCTGCTTCTCCGGGGCTGGGGGAGCGCGGGCCCAGGCCCTCCTCTCCCCCCGCCCCCGCCGCCTCTTCTTGCGGCCACCGCCGCCGCTGCGAGCCCGAGCCCTCGAGGCCGGAGACCCGGCGGCAGCGCGGCCTCAACTTTCCCAGCCCCCCTCCCCCCGCCCCTCCCCGCCCCTCCCGCGGCCGCCGCTCGGCACGCGGACAGCCTACCCTGCGTGCGCCGCGCGCCCGCCCCTGTCAGTGAACCCACCAATCCAGCCGCGGGGAGGCTGCCGTAACAGCCAATGAGAGGCCCGAACGCCGTTGCGCCAGGCTAGAAGGCAGGAGGAGGTGGAGGGAAAGCCAAGGAGTGAACGGGCCTCGGGCAGCCCAATGAGGAGGGCCGGGGGGCGGAGGTGTGCAAGTTGGGTTGAAGGAACAGGAAATATTCTTAAAGGTAGAGTGATAGGCAGGAAGGAAAGCCAGTAGGTGACTGGGAAAGAGGTGGGCCTGGTTCCTTAAAGGGGACGCCTTGAGAAACT